CTTCAAATGCTGCCCTTTTCTTTTTGTCTTGTAAGTATTTTTTCATATACTCTGGAACGAGCATTCTTCTCGAATGACTGTTGTTGGGAGGTGTTTTTATGTCATTGCCTTTTTGTATATACTAGTCTCCTCTCAAATCTAGTGCCCTCTCTCTCTGCAGTGCTGTAAATTCCCCAGCTCCTTTTTGGAATAATCTCTGACTTTTGGGGGGGTTTAATTTAAAGGAGGTAATCTTCATGTAGGTTTTTTTTGATACTCCTGACCTTTTACAAACTGCTGTCCACAACTGAGGAAGAACAGTCCTCCAGTCAACCTCTCTGAGGCTCCAGCTGTCTCAGGCTCTCTAAAACTGGTTCATTCAGTCTCTGAGCCTCAGTAAAGAGGAAATGTTTACTTTTTTTCTGCCTTATTTCACATGCCCTTTTGGCATTACTGCTTATTACCTGTAAGTGACATGCTCAGCACATTTGTGTGGTGATATCAAAGAAGAACTCTAAAATTTTTTTGCCGTGTAGTTTAAGATGTCATTAACTTCAAATTTGCAGCGTTGGCTTCATGTCTAAAACCTGAGACTGATCAGAAGCCTTGAGCTAGTTATTCACAAAACTGCTGCTAACACACTATAGCTTTGTAGGGGACGTGATTTTGGATGGTCTTTTTTTTCAGCTTTTTGTGAATCCTAAAAAGCTCAGAGAGTTATGAATGCAGAACGTGCAATCAGAAAGAATCAGCTGGGAAGCTGAAAACCAGACTTACCAAATCCAATTTTGAATGACAAACCATTAGTATTATGTACAATTGCATCTTGCTAAATAGACAGAAGATAAATCAATTATACACATCTATTTAAACAGTAAGTGTCTTAGAATTGATTCTGTTCCTTGCACAAAGTGAATTGGATGTGCTGTTTTGTACTTTTTTTTTTTTTCTGGCATAGGATATACACAAGTCTTCCTATTTTTCTAGTATTTGTATACAGTTTTATTTCATAAGAAAAAAAAATCCACCATTGCTAAGAAGCAAAACGTTATATGCTGTCCAAAATATTGATTCTACTTCTGCTCCCCCATATTGCCACCTGCGTAGTCTGGAGCTTTGGCACAGTTACTTTCCTGCTCCCTGGAGCATGTCTCTAGTCATTGCTTTCCTTGATTGGTCTTATGAGCAAGGATTCAAAATGAGGAATGTGAACGTTTAAGGTCTGATTCTATCTGACAGCAGCTTACCCTTTGATCTAAAATTTGTCAATCCAATCCTAATCCCTTTTGCTAGCAGTGGAGATGCTGACAATCATAGGAGCAAAATACTGCTTCTAGAAGTGTCTCATCTTTTGATGACAGTGACCATCAGTAAGCTTATCGGTCAGGTACAGAATGCCCACATTAGAACCCACTTGTCTTTCAGTAACAATCTGAGCAAGTTTGTAATGGCATGAATGCATTTTGGAGGCCAGTAGCTTTAAATACCTATTATGAGCCATCACACCTGCCAGCCGCACAAGCAGCTGAGAAATGACTTGTATCGTACTACCAACTGTTTCCTTACGAATTAACTTTGGGACTTCTGCTGATGTGTGGCAAAAAACAGGAATGATGGAATGGGAGGTTAGAGTTATGAGTGCTTCTTCTCTAAGGTTGAACTGAAGTTAGTAAGGGAAGGAAAGGTTGGTATAGACTTTATTATTCAACCTAGCTACAGGATGGCTAAGTATGTATAGCCTTTTTCCAGCAACAGTATCTTGAGATAAGGTCTAGGAATACTACCATTAATTTTTCTGTTGGATTTGTTGTTTTCTCAGTAGTTCATCTGTCTGTCACCAACCTGCCAGATGCAGATTTGGTGAGATAAAAGGAGTTACAGAGATGAAACCCCTGAAGGTGGTTGTAGCCCTGCTGGTAGCAGTGTGCAGCATGCCTTCTACACAGAAGGGCATCGGTAGTGACTACAAAGCTACAGAATGCTGTGCTCACCAAACCCTGGCCCAGAAATTTCAGTCATTCCAGATAGAAGACAGTAGCTCAGTCTTTATATTCAGGGAAACCTTAGGTAATATTATTATCATTGCAGTGGCCAACAAGGTTAATTATAAAAGCCAAATTTTTTAAGACAAGTTGCTTTATATAAAAGGTAAAGCATTTCTTTGTCTTGATCGTGAGTGTGTGCCGGGAGAGGAAAACAACAGCAACTAAAGGTTTGTACAGAACTGCCTACTAGTCTAGTCAGCTGCTTGACTCCTAATTATACAAGGGCGATATCCTGATCCAGTCTTTAAAATTAAATCTCTGCTCCTATATGCAACAAAAGAGATGATATTTACCAATGTTTGACCTACAGTTGTATTTTTGGAATATTACTATTATCTTCTGACTCATATTTGGAAATGTTCTAAGGCAAGCATTGCTGTATCTTAGCTGCTGGTAAAGGGTGGACTTCTGGCAGCAGCCAGTGCATAAATAACAGCCACAGCATCTCCAGCCTCAACCAGTGCTCCATGTGTGTCTCAATGGAGATAGCGAGAGTGGAAGAACTTATTTCAATCTGAATCAAAAGAAAAGTTTCTATCTTCTGTATTACTAGTGTCTTTTATTATATGAGACATTATAGTTTGACCTAAAGAAAGAAAAGATAAAAATGCTGCTGATTAATCTTACTGTCATAAAGTGGTTGTCCTGCTAACAAAGACCATTATGTTCTCCTGCAATATAATCTGTCCTTTATAACCTTCATAGCAAAACAGCCACATACAAAAATCAGAAACTGTATGGTTTACTCACATCCCTTCAGTATTTATGTTTCTCAAAGGGAAGGCAGAAGATAATAACTGAGAATATTAGCTGATAAAAAAGCTTGGTCAACGGCCTGTGGTATTATACTTTTTGTGGTTATCGCCAAATTGCCAAAAGCGATATCTAATCTTGACTGGAAAAACAAGAAAGCCAGAGAAAAAAAATTGTTTCATCTCAGGAAATGATTTGGAGCCCCTTGGAGGCTGAAGAAGTTAACATTTGCTTGCACTGCTACAAATACTTCTCAGTTGCTCTCAAGTATAGTTAACTAGTGATTATTATTAACTAATAGCTTCCACAACTGACTTTAAACATTAATAGTACTAATAAAGTTGAATCTTACTTTATTATGCCTTTGAATTCACATACAAACCCACAAAATTTAACTATTAACCTAGTCTAATGATTAAACTATGCCGAGCTAATACTCATGGATACAAATAAATGCATTTACTAAGCAAAGTTGCATATACAAATTCTACATTTTACAGTATCCCTCACATCTACAAGTCATCAGTAGAAATAATGTTCATTTTCTGATATATTCATTTTTTAGATTCATCAGAAAGTCTCAGATTAGATAGGTTAACTTAAAAATTAAACATTTTTCACTTTGACTAGTATTATTTATTATCTTCTATCTCCAACTGGATGTCTACAGATTCAAAACAGAGAATATGGACTATGATGATAACAACATTAACTAAAGCTTTACCCAAATGTGAAGTTCCTGCCTACATTAGCATTTTGTTCATTAAGAGGATATGGCTTTTTAAAAATGTTACCTGCTACTTTGTTTAAATACATTTTTTTACAAGAGAGAACAGAGGAATTTGTAAATGTGTTTTCCAAATCGGAGAAATTTTTAGCAAGGACGTGTGACTTTGTCTTTCAGAGACCTCATATGGTGCAAGCAGACTATATGGGATCCATACCAATGCCTTCCCTATGATTATCTATGCTGGCACCCTTTCTAGTGATTCATTTTCCATGCTTGTTTAGTCTAAAGCTTCCCAGGGGTAGAGAGTGCTGGCTGTACACATTTGAAGATATTGGCAATCAGGGTTATCATTTAAGAATTAATTGTTTGTGACATACACAAATTAAATAAATAGGGTTGTGTAGTTCTTGAGTGTTGAGCAGGTTTTAGTTCCCAGAATAACAAATGTAGGCTGCCTTCTTTTCTTAGAATCTACACAGGATGGATGTAGTAAGTTTTCCTTTAATGATACATCAGAATTCATCTTGTCTCCATATTTGACTCTTTGTACAGGCAGTAGCTGAATACTTTTACTGCATCGACTGTAATTCCATATTTAGTCCTCAGATTCACTTCAGCCAAGCTGGTACAAAAGTCATGTGCTAATATTGATGTTAAACTATCCTAATAGAACACGAATTGTCACTGCTCTTCCCCTTCCCTCTTGAATTATTTTACAGAGTATTGCTTCTCTCTATCGTAGGGAGACATGAAAGGCAAATGGTCAGTAAAGACTAACCAGATTAACAAGCTGTAGGATACACCCTTATACATTTAAGTAGCTTTATGAATCAAGTTTTACTGAACTACTCAGGACAGCACCAATATTCACAAAAGTTGAATGCTGCAACACCTTACTCTCACTCTTATTCTACCAGTTCTGGCTGGAGTAGTTCTCCTGCTACAGTTACACAAAGCAGGATGCTGGTGAAGTTACCAATTTGCTGACAATTCCAAACCACTCTACTTGATGCCTGAAGGCAGATTAAGACATGGGAGAAAAACAGCTCAAGATTTAGAAGCCTTTTTAATCCATAGCTGCCTGTAGGTGCGTACTTTTTTCAGGTAGAGCAGCTGGGGAATCCTTCTTATGGTGGAAAAAACAAACTGAATCTCAAGTTTTTGGCTCCTTTTGCAAATACAGTGTTAGGCTGCACGTCCCTTCTGCTGCTGTATTTGTCAGCAGGGAGAGACGGGTCTGCTCTTACACAATGAATTTTATGCATTTAAACAGTTTTATCTCATCCTTTCAGGTTTTGGCAGACAGTTGTGCAGTGACTTTCCATTTAAGCTTATTTATTTTGTAATCATCCTAAGTGTTACAACACTCTACAATTATGATTCTTATGAGGTACATTAATCATTTATTATATTGGAGAGAAGTTTTGCTTTAAGGAAACTAATCATAATATCAGAGAACACTACAATAACACTGAACATATCTATTCTGCTAGACCACCGTATCTTGGGATGGAGATAAGCTGCTTTGTGTACAGAATGGAGAAAAAGAAGGTCGTGGTTGGACCCAGTGGATTGAAGGAGATGAAATGCACCTGGTAAGATCATGTAACAGTTTTTAAATGCCACTCTATTAAAATGGTTAGATGTAATGCAGCAGTATCTTGGGTTACTTTGACATAGTTATGTATTGTTGCAGCATTTGGGTTGTTTATAAAGCAATGTTTTCATTTGGAGCCATTATGCTTTTCTGTCCCTTACAAAGAGTGCCTGATTTCAAAGCAGTACTCTTTCTGTGTTAACTGTCTGTCCAGACATAGCAGTTTGAAATGTTGACACCGAGGAAGATATTTAACAGAATGCCCTTCATACAGCCTGTGAAATACACAGTATGGGAGCTGGTGAAATTATGCATCCAATAATAAGCCATATGGGGAAAACACACCATTGTTCTTTTAAAATAATTATAGGCCAGACTGCCTCTCTAGGCATTATAGCCTAGAGAACTAAAACAGCAATTAAGTTTTTGAAATGTCATGTTCTTTCAGATCATCATTTTTATCTTTCTAAGTTAACAGGACCTGAAAGGAGATGCCTATTCTTTTCTCACATAGCTCTTTATAGCATCCTCACTCTCTCATCAGTGTGGGTATAAGGCAATCTTCCTGCTGAGATAATAAAACCCAACCTCCATTTCTATTCACTGTTTGTTCAGCAGCCTAAATGGATGTGCTCTAAATATTCAAATCAGAGTTATGAAATCTTTGCAAAAGTACTCTAAACCCCTTATTACTAAACACAGTTTTCAGGAAGTACTGGAAGTCCCAGAAACCAGTTTGGAAAAGGAAGGTATATGACAGATCTTACCATCTGGACTACAAACTTGATATAACACAGGTAGGGAGATACTTACTATGTAAGCGATCATGTTATAGCTGAGGTCATGGGCTCACTGAAGGTAAGGTGGAAGCAATAAAAAGGAGACTCCAGAATTTCCTTTGTGTGTACGTGTTCTCTCTATCTGTACACAAACACACTACAGTATTCCAGCACTACCCTCAGCTGGTGCCATGAGGCCAAGTATCAAGCCTGTCAGATTCTCTGCTGGCAGACAGGTTGTGTTTAGCCATACAAGGTCTGGCCTAGCAGTTCAGCTTACACCTTGCTGTGCTCAGTCATACACATAACGTGCACTTATCTGCACATACATGAATCAGCAGCACTACTTGCACTTGGATTTCTCTGTATTGGCACCCTGGTTTCTGTCCCTTGCCAGCTCTGCAGTCATCTCTTCCCATTTGCCATACCCGACACCAATTTCTTTAGCCCTAATTTCTGCTATCTTTTTTCTGATTCATGCTCTAGCCATACAACCTAGCCATGGACCTCCAGGCCAGACTACTTTCTATACTTGGCCCTGTCAAGAGTTTGCTTTTAGAAGTCATAAATTCAGATTCAGTTGCTCAAACATATGTGTCTAGTGCCACTTTAGGTACCCCAAGCTAATCTGAGTGATCTGAGGCTGCTTTTTCAGGTTTTGAAGAGTTCCATGTCATACCTGCCAGTTCACACAGGCATCCATGCGCTCATTGGCACTTATACAATTTATCACAACCTGTCTCTCATGTACACACCAGTTAGTATAAAATTACTTCATGAGAAGGTAATAACTAAGTATTTTAGAGGCCAGTCCCCAATATTTCAATTTTATCACTTGCTTTATTTCATGAACTTCAAAAAATATCCTCTTTATTTCTTTCAATCCTTGTTAATGTAATTCTCTCCATTAAACATACAGTAAGAGAGTCCCATTTAGCATCTTATTTGTGACCAGCTAATATTACTGGGTCCTGTACTCTTGAGAATCCTTTGATACAAAGGGCAGTTACCTCTAAAAAATTGATACTTCGATAGCTTTATGATCCTATTGAACTTTACACAATGAGCCAAGTGTTAATTTAATTTTTTCCACAGTTCTGTAGAGAGTAGAACCACATCCTTTAGTAGTTTATCGCCTCCTATTTTCTCAATTTCACTCTACAGTCTGGACTTTGCAGTCCTTTTTCCTCCTTAGATTCTGTTTTATGTGAGTGACTTATTTGACCATTCTCCATTTCCTTTTGAGTTTTATTGCCCTTTTCTATCGCATTGATTGCTTCTGCTCTGTAGGTTTTTGTCACTATCAGCAGATCTCTTAGCCCTTATTGTGTACTCCTTCTTCTGAGTTACCTATATAGAAATGAACAAAACAGGTCCTAACTAAAATCACTATATCAGTCTGCTTGTTTTATCAATTCATCATGAGGCACTTTCTCTTACTATGGACTAGCAATGTATGCCAATAATGCTATTGACTCAGTGTAAGCGTTTTCTTAATATGTCATTTCATCAAAATCCCCCATAAGAAAATGTACATAACTTACCAGGAAACTCTGCCTCCTGTTTCCTCAAAATATTCTGACAGCTTTATTAAAAGTCTTACCTTGAAATAGAAAGTACATCCTGGCTGCTAGGTCATACATAACCTTTGTCTTTATATTCCTTAAGAAGTTCCACCTCTTTTTCTTGTTCCACCAAAACCAGTCAATACCTCCACACATCCTCACACATAGTGTGTGCACTTCTCAGGTCTAACTTGGTTTCAGTAATGGAGAAGATTAAACTGCATCTTCAGTGAGATTAGGTAAACAACAGTAGGCCTCACAAATCAGTGCCCAAGATGTAAATATCATTGCACCTGCTTATGCACAGTTCAGTATGATCCAATGACTAGCAAGGAGGGATTTTTAAAAAGCTCTTACAGAAAACTAAGAGCCGTCAACAGCATTAGACATCCAACATGATCAAGTTCATTCAAAACAAACTGTTGTGCTATGTTTTATAGACCTAGATGAAATCTTCTGTACACAGCTACCAGTCCTTTTCAAGCCATGGTCATTGTGATGCTAGAGTGCGGTTTCAGCGCATTTCTGGTTTTGTAGCTTTGAACTGCCAGTCATTAACATACAGATTCAGAACTAGTTATTCAAATCCATCTCCAAGTAACTTCTTTATGTGTCCAAAACGGAGAATGCCCATTTCAAAGACCTAAGCAGTTGCACATACTGCAAACAGAGAATAATGCATCGGGAACATATTTGGCCCTTTAAGATCTGAGATTCCAAAATAACTTCTCTTACTCCACCTTTGGCCAGAAAACAAACCCAAACCAGCTGTTTTCTGTTAGGATTAAAAATAGACTAAAATATGTACAAGCTACCCAATCTACTTTGATAGACAGTTGTGGATTCAAATTAAGCTGGACATACACATTAATATGTAATGCATGTGTCCTATGTAAAAGTTGTATTTTTTAATTATTTTCTTTTCCTAGGAAATAAGAGTGTGTGGCGTCAAGTGTAAGCAAGTCTTTAAGAAGGTACAGTGATCCTACAGCTGAGACAGAAGTGAAGAATGGTAGAATTTACAGATTTACCACCAAATCTCCAAATGCTAGTAATGAACAACATCAGTGACAAGAGCAAACACAGAAATGAAGATCACATTAGAACTGTATAGTTAGAATAAAATTTTTTTAACAAATCATTTTAAAGACATAACTGCAAATAAAAGTATTTTTAGAAATGCTAATTAAAGATACTAAACACTACAAATGTGTGTGTACCATAATTCTTGATTACTCCAACATGGGACTGTTTGTTATAAAACAAGATAATGGAGTTTAAGACCTTGTAAGATGATTTTTTACTTAAAATGGAAATCACCCTTCCACAGCCTTAGCAAGGGCCCTTCAGGTAGTCTTGTTTTCAGATCCTGAATTATAGTTGTAGGGAAGTGAATGACAGCTGTAGTATGTGGCTTACACTTAAATCCTGATTTCACTGAAGCCAGTAAGAATTTACCATCAGCTCCAATGGAGCAGTACTTCACTGAAAGTATTCCACCAAAAATAAAAATCTGATTTCTCAAAATAAGTACAGATATGGATCAATAGTCTGGAAGAACAGTACTTACAGAAGGATGGCCAAAGGGCAATTCTTTTCTAAATGCTTTAGCCAGTATCTGCCCATTCTTTTATTTTTTTTTCCTTGTTCTGGAGAAACTAATAGTAAGATCATCGCTAGAAATTGCATATAATTGTACACACACTACACAAAAGATATGACTAGAATTGGTTTGTACAGTATTGTTTGCAGTTGTTTTTTCCAACTCATCATAGTTTCTCATGTTCTCATGCAGACTGAGGGTGTAACAAAGCATTGCCCTAGCAGTTTCCAACACTGATTTAATCACTAGTCATGTTAATAGTAATATGCAAACTAAATTGTTATATTTTCAGTCTATCAACACACTGGATATACAATTAGCACCACCACTTCACATCAAGTTCAAAAAGAAACAATGATCCAGGGTGCCTGGTTGGATCAGACCTTCAGCACATGGCACAGTATTACAAGTGTCTCCTGTAACAACTGGTATTAGGCATTTTCAGGGATGTAATCAGTGGGGAGGTTGCTATGGCAGAGTCTGAGGTGTTCTAAAGTGGAAACATACCTTTCCTTATCCTGCTGCAACCCCTGTGCCTAGCATGGCTTTTGTCTTTTTTGGGAACCCAGCACTGAAACTGAGAGAAATTTTAGACATTCATTATGTAAATGGCAACAAATGCTGCCATTCTCTACTAACATAAGACAGTTTTAAATATTCACTATTATTAAGCCTGGTTAGAAAAGCTAGCAGCCCCATCTAACATGAAGAAATGGAGGTTCAGAAAATGTCACTGTAAACTATAAACTTATTACAGCAGGGTTTATAAACTTTCTGAACTAGGGTATTTCAACCATACTATATGTATTGAGAGTGTAGCACCAGATATGCCATAATAGACATCTAATTCAGTTTTGTAAAGTTTTGGTTTTTACTTTATATCAGAAAATACAAAGAAAATATTACCCATGAAGGCTTAAGCATCCTCATATGATAAACAGGTGAAAAATAGTCCCTCTCCACGTAAATTCTTCTGTTGCTATTGCAACAGCTGTGGCTGATACTACTTAGAATTACAGACATATGTAATGCAATTGTTTACTTTAAGTTCCCTTGTAACTTTTTTCTTGGCAATACATAATGCTCATGCCTGAGGAACACTCTGGGAATTATATTTGAGCCTACTCAACCAGATACATGCAGAAGCTGTTTTTTTTTCTCATGTGCTAGCCATCTAGCTCTGTTTCCATAGCTTAATGAATATCCCTCCTGACAGATATACAGGCCAGCAGTTAACAGTGATTAAGTTTTCTTGTACTTGTAGTGGGACAAGTCAAAATTGGTTGCAGTTAAATAAGATAGAAAGGTTGTGGGGAAGGGAAAAGGATCAGAAAACTGTATCTCAGGTGAAAAATACTGTTCTGCTTAAGTGAAATTGCAAATAGCTGTCTACTTAAAATGTTATTTATCGCCTTACACAAGGTTGGGGATATCCCAGTTGCCAAATTTCAGTGCATCAGTCATTTGTTTTCTTGAAAGATTATTGGACACAGAAATCTCTTTCCTTCAAGTTTCTAAATTATTGATTTCATGACCATGCACACCCTCCAGATATCTCTCTGCTCCTCAGCCCCAAGGAAAGCTAGAGAACAATGGAAAATAAGGAATGAACTCCAACTTCTCATTTATAACAGATCTTAATTTTTTCAGACCACCTGCATTTTCCTTCTAATATGAAAACTGAAACTATACATTTAAGAGATGATTCACACCGCTATCCACAATTAAATTTTGCATAATTCTTTATAACGTTCAGCACTAACTGAGACCTTTTTGAAATTTAGTTTTCCTTCAATAGAACTTGGCAGTTCATAACCCTTAATTCACCAGATGTCGTCTAATTTTTGCCTCCAGCTCCCTGTAGTCTTGTGTAACATTCACAAACTCTTTTTGCAGAAGGTTATAAGTGGATCAATTAACATCTAGCTAAGTAAATCCAATTGTTAAAAGCTATTATTATTGTAATCAAACAGACAGCTTTTCCCCTTTGGGTCGTTTGGTACAAGGGCAAATTTAGCACCATACTAATAACTAATGGCTTATCAACCAGAAGCAATGTAACATGCTTCTAATTACAGAGAAAAGGCAAGCTCGGAAGTACTTCCACAGTTCACATACTTAAAATCCAGAAACTTCAGAAATATATAAGTTTGAATACATTTTTCCTCAAATCATTTCAATTGCTTGTCATCATAATTGTAACCTCTTATCTGTACTGCAGCAACCATTTCCCTTGGAAAAGGAAATTATGTTCGTTCATTGCTTCCGTGATGATACTCTCCAAATAATGTGTATAAAATTAGCCATGCTGTTTCCATAAACCTTTAACAACTTATCATAAAATGTAATTTAAAACTTCCTCCATAAAATAGCTGCTTACTGAATGCATAACATCCAACAATTACTTGACAAACATCAGCCTCCCTGACTGCTTTCAAAGCTACCTAGTAGCCAAGACCTTCATATCCAGACTTGCTTACTACTCAGGAACCAAACTTCATATTAATTTTATTGATCTCCCACAGAATTTCAGCTACAGTTTGCCAATACCAACCCTGTATTTCTGCACAACTGCATTACTTCCATATAAAGGATATCTTTAATTTTGTCAGGAAAGACCAGAGTTTACACCAGCAGTGTGAATTGAAAGGCAAAAAAAGGTGCATTTCAGAAGTGCATCGCAAAAGGCTTTTCAGTGAAAGGCAGACACAGAAAGAATACATGTTCTCTTTATAGCACGTGAAAGCCTGTTGTGCATATGAAGTTTCAGCTTTATGGAAAAAGTACAAAAATAACCTTGTTTTTAGCAAGCATGGTGCAACAGAGGAAAGTCAGAGCCTTAAAGTTCAGGATGGCCAAACTTAACTGGGAAAACAGAAGCAGCAATGTGTAATACAGCTATAAGCAACCTCCTTGGCTTTGCTGAAGACACAGAGAATTAAAAAAAAAACATTAGGGGTAAACCAAACAATCTACCTGAGCTATGAAGGTATTACCTTCTCGCAGGTAATTAGTGACAGAATGAGAGGGAATGGGCTCAAGCTCCAACAGGGTAGGTTTAGACTGAACATTAGGAAGGAATTTTTCACAGAAATAGTGGTTGGGCATTGGAATAGGCTGCCCAGGGAGGTGGTCGAGTCACCATCCCTGGATGTGTTTAAGTGTCGTTTAGATGTGGTGTTGCGGAATATGGTGTAGGGGAGAACTTTGTAGAGTAGGGTTGATGGTTGGACTCGATGATCCTAAGGGTCTTTTCCAACCTTAATGATTCTATGGTTCTATGTAACATTACGATAGCTATAAGCTCATCCAAAATTTCTCAGATATTCACCTGGTTTTTCCAGGAAAAAAAAAAATGGTTTGATAATGTCAACTTCAGCCCTCTGCAACACTGCTGAAAACTCTGTGCAGATCTTTTTATTATAAGCCCCCTATACTTATGTCTACTTCTGCAATGCATCCATAAGTTTGGGGTTGGATCTCTCTCTTATCCTGCTACTTTATTCCTTCCCCATAATTTCAGTCCTCTACAGCAGTGACTACAGCTTAGATGCTGAAATTTGTTCCAGTCCTAGGTATTCAAATTACCTTTAACTTACTGCTCCCCTAACTCCCTCCTGTTCCTCTTCCCTCTTTCCCTTCAACTCACTCACTATCCAACGATACTGCACAGTCCGAGTAAGAAGGTCTGGAATACAGCTAGTTTTGTACAGGCTCTGTTATGATTCCCTGCTTCCCATCCTCCCCCACCCAAATTTCATTATTGTTTCATACATTTCTGTAATTGTTTTCTCTGGAAACTGCCTTACTGTACACAAGGCATACTTTTCCCCAGGGAATGCTCTCAGTGATTAGATCATATCCTTTCCTGCTCTGTCCTGTCCAGAAGAAGGCATTCTGCTCATTTGAACAATACACAAATTTGGCCTTATCTCCATCATGAATTCCCACATTACTTCCAAGAGGAGCAGAAAGAAATTTCAGCAGGATTTGAAAAGCATAAAGTATCCATCTGGAAATGCAAAGGATCAGGTACAAAACTGAAACCCCTCGTGCTGGCATAATCTGTAAAAAAACAAGTATGGTCTTTGAAGAGCAGTAGGAGAGGGGAGGGTGAGAAAGAGAGAAGAAAAATTAGCAGCACTAATATTTTTTAACAACTTGATTATGTTTGATCCAATGGCATAATCTGTACAGGTTATATTTTCATTTGGAAAATGATTTGTTTTCTGTTTTATATGAATAATTCAAAACATGCACATTAATTTTAGTGGGGGCCAAATAAGGATATAAAGCATTTATCTCAGTACTTGAAGATTGGATATTTGATATGAGTGCAAATCTAATCTAATATATACAAAGTACATGTATGTCTAAGGACAGTTAATTTTTTTTTTTTCTGTATTCTAGATATCCAGGAATTTTTAATAGATACCAAAATATTTTTCTGGCACAAAAGAACACAAATTAAACCAGATTCCATTACCTAAAGAGGTATTTTTATATTACTTAATATTATGAAATGAATGATATTAATTAGTCTTGTGAAATGCCTGTAATGTTG